TTATTTTCACTGATTTCTGATGAGTTTAATGTGAAATATAGGAAAAAAAGTATATTCGCTGGATTTTATTTTCACGGAATCGTCCCTTCAGCGAAAATAGCGAAAATAAATTCCAAGCGAAAATAAAGTATTCTACAGTATTCAAAATGAGACGCATGCTGATTGGATAATGTTGAACTAACTCGTTAATATTATTTTTGAATTAACAATGGCACAATACAAATTTCTGGCTTTATCAATTTGATTTCCAGCATTAATTTTGATTTAAAAAAATGTGTATTTATAGAACAGTTTTAATGACTCCAGTAATATGGTCTTCATTATATTGGTTAATTCTTTGATAGACAAAGGCTTTACTGGAAAGACTCAATTTTAAAACTTGTACTTATTAGTTTAAAAAAAAGTCTATAAACACATTGTCTGATTCTTATGGTTTTGTTGAAGCCATGTGTGACAATACATTGCCATCCCTAACAAATTGTGCATGATTGTGTTAATAAAAAAAAATAACCTTGGCTAATTGTATGATTGTGCATGTCAAGGAGCTGGATCAATCAGAGTTCCTGTAACAATTTGCATTAATTTCAGATTTAAATCAATAGATTTTGCATACATATACACTAGACCTTGGCAGATTCATTCAGCATATTTAAAGGGTAGTAGTCGTCGTGCCACATATGCGCGAGATATATGGGTCTCATATAAAAACAAAGATGGCGACTTTGACTGTTGCGCAGATCAACAAGTACAAATTGGGACGCTACAAAGCTTTAATTAGGTATTTTTTAGGTGGTTGGAAGGTATCAAAGGAGTCACCGATGGTAATTAGTGCAAGTCGCGCACAGGTCAAACCTCGTACTTGTGATTTCCATTCGAAGAGCGCATTGGATTATGGGAAAATCAGTGTTTATCAACTCAAATGTCGCACATGCGCAGCGCGACGACTGCCACGCTTTAAACTTTGGCTTTTTTGGCAAGTTGATATACTACTTATTTTTATTTCTTTTGCATCGTCTTTTGTTGTAGTAAATCTTGACATGTTTATAGACGCAATGCTAAAGTATTAAGCGAGACGTTGTGCAGTGGGTTACCTGGTATTTCAGTGGAATGTAATATTGGACGATCTAAAAGTTTTGAATGTGAACTTATCAAGGAAGATGGCACAGGTAAGTAGTAAGTTTAAAATACAGCCCCCGCCCTAAATTGAGGTGGGAATGTTCGTAATGGGATTGATATGTGAAGTGCCTGAGTGACTTTTAAACTTAGAGCTTACTGACATTAGAACCTATGAGAGGCAGTCTGGCTATTAAATAAAATGTTGGTAGTAATCAATGAGGGTTTATAATTTATCCAAAATAAATTGTACATACGGTATTTGATCTATTAGAAATGTATGCACCTTACATAAATGATAGAAGTGTGTCTATGGTCAAAACAAGGCGTATTTTAATGATCAACTATACAATCGTTTTTGCTAGCCAAGGTACATTTATTTTGCTGTCGCCTCACGATTAAAGCGAGAGGGTCGTCACCTGCGCATGTGTGGGTATTGAGTCCCAAGCGATAACAACACGCGCTAAAAACGCAAAGGCTTGTTAGTAAACAATGACACGCTATGGCCCATCTGACGCATGTTTAGGTGACGACTCCCCGCCGCTTTAACCTTAGTAGAATTCCTACTGTCAACCTATATTCACTGTTGATGAAATCAAATACAACAGTGCATGCTCTGGTGTTTCCATGGTAAATGGAACACAAAGTCAAGTTTTGTGGCGTGTTTTCATGGGAAATCAAATGAAAGTTGCAAGTTTTTGTCAGTTAATACACATCGTGATGGAGACTGCTAAATCTATCAGTTTGACGCACCTATTCAAATCATTCCATTTAACAAAGATCAAAATTCCTAACATGATCATGCACAGGTTCATAGACGGCTGGGATGGTTGCATGGTGAAACTGGTGATGGTTTAAAATAAATGCATTTTTTTGTCTATAATATGTGCTTCTAATGGAGATGTGCTTGTAATACCGTACTAGTCCAAAGGGAAAATTTCATCTGATTTAATGTTTATTTACAGAGGTACTAATATGGAGTGGCATTGATCTTCCCCGGAAGTTGAAATTCCCTGAGCCAACAAGTGTTATTGATTTGATCAAAGAAGCTGTATAACAAAAGGCATTACTGAAGTAAGTACAAATCTGAGATTTGGGGGTTGACTAATAGAAACTAGCGTCTTCATGTTTTGATTGTACAGTAACCACTCGCCAAGTCGGGCCTCAGTAAGTTAGGTTTTCGGCCAATTCACAGGTAGTTTGAAAATTCCATTATGTTTTGCAGACAGTTTTGAATTAAAAGAACTAATGTTTCAGTGCACAGTGTATTTAATTGACTGTTAAAGGGCTGGAGGAGACAACTTAACACCTACTGGCCGTCAATTACCAAGCAGTTAGTGAGTCCATTATTCGGGCATGGTAAAAATGGAGGAAAGCCGAGAAAATTTGCGAAATAATTCGACAATGACAACATCGATAAAGCTGTGATAATAAATAATTCTTAATTACAAATTTATTTCAACTTAATCTAGACAGAACTATTGTTTGACATATTGCTGGTTTTTCATCACTGGGACTGGGATATATGGTTTTTTTTTTTTTAGAGGGAGTCTGTTTACTCAGGGTGGGCATGGCTTTGATTGTAGCAACAGTTACATGTACAAATAATAGACAGTGGAGTTTGCCTCCGTGATTATATTTACATTTATTGTTTCAATAAAATAATTTACCAAACAAGACATAAATCTTAAGGTATGTACATGAAATCAATCAATAAACATTAAAATAACTGTTCAGACAAGGGTAAGTACTGCATATTGTATCTGAAGGCGTTCATATGTTCATCAACTTGCTGAATGAGGTTTCTGATTTCTTATTTGTCGTCTGCAGTCCATCGTCAATTTCAGTTTCAATATTGAAGCCCTCTTTACAGAAACATTTTGTGATTGTTCCTGATTTAGTGTTGGTCCATGCACTGTTGATCCATTATATCGCATCAAGTACGTTGACTGACTTGGCTACTTCGCTGGCACATGGTGGGGTGTCGATCATTGCAATAACTGAGCGTAAAAGATCTTTTTCTGTAGCAAGCTTTAAATGCATGAATAATTTCCTGGTCAAGCGGTTGTAGCACATATGTTGTATTGGCAGGGAAGAACTTCAGCGTGATGTTAGACAGCCCAATGTTTGGGCAGTGTGAGGTGGCATTGTCGAGAAAAAGCAAGGTTTTACGGTATCTACGATGCATCAGGCTATTCAGATCACGAAAATACTTCTCAAATAAAACACTTGTCATCCAGGCTTTCTTGTTTGAATTCCAATACACTGGCAGAGTCGTTTGGTCGATATTTTTGAAGCACCTAGGTTTTTTTGATCACAAGCGATTTTTTCACTCGTCATGCTGCACGTAAAACAATACTGTCAGTCTGTCCTTTGAAACATTGCCGCCCTTGCAATTATCAGCTTTTTCTGCCAGTGTTTTTTGGGGTAATGCTCTAAAATAAACTCAAGTCGATCATCTCGTCAGTGTTAACGATGTCTACATTAGTACTTTCTCTGTTGACTTTGAACGATTTTATCGAGTAGCGCCCCTCCAACTTTCAAGCTATCCATTCAAAGTTTTGAATGCACACATTACCATTGTTTTACTGCACCAAAAGCTATTCATTACTTGTAGTTTGAAATTTGGTATTGGTTCTGTGACGTTCACGGTAAATTGAACACAATGCATACTTTTTAGGTCAGGCAGACCTGATTACTAGACGGCGTATGTGATGCGGCTGGTTGATATATTCAGGGTGAATATTGGACTCAAAGCCGATGCAGGGTTTGGAGTAGACGGTGGTAGATTTTCACAGGTTGTTTTAACAAGAAATTTTGGGGCTACATAAATCGGTCTTTTCTGACAGATCAGTTTATCCAGGGATAAATTTGGACAAGTTTCATTGTAGTTTAAATCATTTTTTTTTTCACTGGCTTTTAATTTCACTATTTTGATGTTTGAGCTTTTCACTGGGTTTTAAGTTCACACATTTGACAGACAGTAGGTTCCATTGTTACTTTACATATTCACATGTATCTAATGTTATTTAAAGGGCGGTAGTCGTCGCGCCACGATGTATGGGTCTTGTATAAACAAAGATGGTGACTTTGTCTGTTGTGCAGATGAACGAGTACTGACACGTTACAAAACTTTAATTAGGAATTTTCAGGTGATTGGAAGGTATCGAAGGAACCACAGGCGGTATTCAGTGCAAGTCGTGCCTAGTCAAACCTCATACTTGTGATTCCAATTAGAAGAGCGCATTTGATTGTGGGGAAAATCAATGTTTATCAGCACAAATGTCGCACATGTGCAGCGCAACGACCCCGCCCTTTAATTGTCTGTGAAAATAGCAATTAAAAACTAAATAATTATGTCTACAGTACTTGTTTTTCAATTATTTCATTTTACCATCGCAACCCACTTGTCATGTTGAGAATGCAGATTCAATTGATATTTGACCCAAGTCTATTCACATGATGGATTAAGCCAAATATTAATCCATCTGATTAAAGCCTACTTGATGCAGTACCTGAAGTGAATGGGAATAAAAATAGCGTTATCAGGCAAATGTATTAACCAATCAGAATGTTGCAGTACAAACTGATTTTGGTGGAAAAATTATATTTTTAAACTCTTAATTTAGCGAGTTTCCAGCTTAATAGTTTTCCCAATATTGACTGTGGGAAGTTTTCTCCCATAATGCATTGCTTGTATGCGTATTGACATGTTCAGTAGTACAAAATTTTAATTCCACTGAAACTGCCTTAAACAGTACACTTTTACTGCATACTTGGCAGTTGAGCCCCTACTGAATATTGTATAGAAAACTGTTGTATAACAAAAATTCATTCTTAACATATTTTTTTTTTTTTTACACCTACAGATACAACAGTCTGGTAAGAAGTTTCATGTCAGTATCAGCATTAATGACGGAATGTAATGAAAGAATTATTTCTGTTGCAGTCCTGAAGCTGTGGTTGTTACACTGTATCTTCTTACCAAACTAACTTTGTATTCCAGTTGCAAGTTGTTTAAGTACCCAAAACATGTTCATTCATACCCACATTATAAAACAAAGGGGGGAGGGTGGGTATAGACAAAACTATTATCTATATACTTGTAAGCTTGTTTATCGTTAAATTTAGAAGTTTTGCTAACCAAGGGACATGTAATAATGGATGTCCTACAGTGGGCGCAAGATATTTACATTCACTTAACTCCTGCACCTGGTAGACTACTTTTCTGAGCACTTGATTAACTGGTAACACACCGGACACTGTATTTGATGTGTGGGCATGTGGCACGGCATAGTTGAACTATTCCATTACTTTGTAGGTACAATAATCATTGCTGTTTATCATGTGAAAGAAATATAAAACTGGGAATGAATATTAACAAGAAATGATAAATGTAAATCCCGTTGATTGGTAGTTTGTTGATATTTGATGTTGTCATTGAGCATATATAAATAATATTAACATTGTCCCATTCTACATTTCTCTTGTAATGGCATGTCCCATTGCCCGTTTCCTTCTAGTTTCACCTCCATACTGTCACCTTATACCAGTTTCAAATATCCTTCAGATCTTGTGTTTTGCAATGATATTAAGAATATGATGTACCATACACACCAAAGTGAAGATTCCTGTGCACAAACATTTCCCATCAATTGTGACAAGCATATTTCCTTTGCTGTTAGAGTGGGGTTTTGTGAGACTAAATTCGATAAAATCAATGATTTCATTTTCAAATTCCTTTATAAACAATTTCAACCTAATAAGAGGCAAATAATCTGTAATTTATACAATTTTTCATAATAGCAATAATTTTCATAGTACCGGTAAATGATGCATTCAAATCTGAAACTTAATTCAACTTTAGTGGGTTTTTGTTAAATAATTGTATCAACAAGGTTTATTTCGTGGAATGTTCAAAATAGAATTTATTAAATGAACAAGCAATCATGAAAAGAAATTTCCAACAAAAACAATGAATAAAACATTGATATTTTTTGAATCCTTATAAGTTGTAATAGTTGAACCCATATGACAAGGCCGTTATTTTGATTAACTGTCATGTTAGCGGGCATATAACGTATCGAGTCTCTGGGGATGTTGCCTTGGTAACTGCCTACCGGTGCTAAAGTTAGGTGTGTAAATATCGTGCGCTCACTGTAAAAGGTCTTAAGTGGTTGACCATTAGAAACTCCAGGTGGTTGCAGAATTGAAAACAAATTTGCACATGAAAAAAATTGATGGGGAAAATGATCTTGCAGGTTCTTTAACAGAAAAAAAAACAAAAAATTGGAACATAATTTTCCTCCCATCCCGTTAGTTTCTAATGGTCCACCAGCCAGTGTAAAATCTGTTTTTTTTTTTTGACAATGTCCTCACAATTGATAATTCGAAACCAGTTTTGACAGTTTATTATTATGAAGATTTAGACTTTCTATATTTTGTGTTCTGTTCAATTTCTTTTGGCCATAGAGGTCAACCTGCATGTTTAATGTGTTTTGTATTGAATGTTATAAAAATTTGTTATGATCTTCAAGAGGTCTGAAATGTGAAAAAAAACTTGTTAATGTCTCCTTTCGTTTACCCATCACAAAAGTTGATCTATTTTTCTATTTCACGTGTATTTTTTATTGTAAATGTTTTAACAAAGCCCTATAATGTTTTGATTTATGTGAGAATAAATACTTTAGTCATGATCTCATTGCTGGTGTGTCAATGTGTATAATTAGCACTGTTTGGACATGCTCAAGAAACTGGCTTGTTTTCACCTCTGCGTCTACTCCTGTATCTTGGTTATGCTTGTTGTCAGATTATGCTTGCACATTAGTTTTGTTTCATGATCCAATTCAAAATGGCCAAATAGCAGCCATTTAATGCTAAATGTTTATCAAAATAGACTCTCAATTTGTAACTGCATCTTGGTTGTGCATAGACTTGTTTAAATCAAGCTTGTCGTGTCCATTACACAAAATATTTCTTGTTGCCCACAATTTTTCTTCCAGTTTGGATTCAAAATCCCCGACTGGTATCAATTTTGTTTCACTGAATATTGTTCAGCAAATACCAGAACCTTGCCCCCCCCCCCAAACAGATTAATTACCATTAGTGTCCTTGTAGCTGTGGTTGAAGTATTAATCACACATCCTATCTTTGCTGTTTGAAGTGCAACACTGACATTGGTCATCATTTACAAGATGTTAAGTGTGACAGCACAGCCATGAAATGTGATTAATGACAAATACTAAATGTGTGTGGCCAATCGTGCACCTAATATGGCCAACTTTAAATGTGTGTGGCCAATCGTGCACCTAATGTGCCTAATCCTAAATAATGTGTGTGGCCAATCTTGCACCTAATTTGGCCAATCCTAAATGTGTGTGGCCAATCTTGCACCTATTGTGGCCAATCCTAAATAATGTGTATGGCCAATCTTGCACCTATTTTGGCCAATCCTAAATAATGTGTGTGGTCAATCGTGCACCTAATGTGCCTAATCCTAAATAATGTGTGTGGCCAATCTTGCACCTAATTTGGCCAATCCTAAACATGTGTTGCCAATATTGCACCTATTGTGGCCAATCCTAAACATGTGTGGCCAATCTTGCACCTATTGTGGCCAATCCTAAATAATGTGTGTGGCCAATCTTGCACCTATTGTGGCCAATCCTAAATAATGTGTGTGGCCAATCTTGCACCTATTGTGGCCAATCCTAAATAATGTGTGTGGCCAATCCTAAGTAATGTGTGTGGCCAATCCTAAACATGTGTGGTCAATCATAAACACGTGTGGCCTAAATAATGTGTGTGGCCAATCTTGCACTGGATGTGGTCATTCTAAATACCAAATGTGGCCAATTCTGAAAAGCAAATGCTGTTTTATGACCGCATTATATCCTCAGATAATACATACAATGAACACTGCTTCCATAAGATAATTGGATTATGTTTGTAATAAATAAATTGACTTATCCTATTTCATATATTTCTATATAGACAATATGACGCCATATACATTTCAACCATGCATTCAATATTGTGGTGCGTATATTGAATATACGTATGTGAGTTCGGTCATTTATTTGATGTATAATAATTTTATGACACATGAAAAGATTTGCATGACCATATACATAAGGTGAAAATAGTTCTGCATCTTTCTTTCTGTTATTGGTATTGCTTCATCTGACAGTTGGTGGCGCTGTATGAATGCGCCCAGGGGCGACCGGACACTGGAAATTAAGTGTATACATCGCATGTGTATTTCGGAATTCATTGTTTTTTCTTCTTCTCAATATCTAGAAGGATATTATTGTTTTGTTTTGCGTTTTATTTTTCAAATGAGGCAAACACATAGAATGTGAGTTGGGTTTTGACCGTCGTGGGATAGTTGGTTACTTGCAATTGCAGTAATTAAAAATTCGTTAGCGACTTTCTAATCGAAGATGTAAAAGCAGAAACTTCAAGTTTGTCAAGTTTATTCAGCATGTCACTGATATCTTGTTGGAAGACATGAATGCCGAATTCAGAAGATTGTCGTGTCGAGTGATACCGGAGATTTCCCAATGAACAGTCATAAAATCCTAACACATATCGGAACTATCGTGCACAGTTTTGATATTTACAGTGCGAGCGTCAAGTTAAATGCAGGTATACATCATCGTGATATCAGAGTGTACATGTTGAATTATATTGCCTGTAATTGAAATAAAGGCCGAATAAAACAATAATTTACCAGATTATGTTTAAAGTAGTGGCTATAGGAAATACATTCAATAATTAGTTGGAATTAAAATATTTATTATTAATGTGTACAGTTCCAAGGAACTGGAGTGCTGTGTCATTCTCTATTCATTATTTGCAAGAAGGGGCGTTATGAAACATATGCCTTGCTTTATTATTAGTATAATAGTTAAGCAATAACAAATCCCATACACACTTCGCTGAAGGATAAGTAAAAACAAGAAATGTTTCCCCATAACTTGATCCTCCTGACTGACAGCTATTGCAGTCAGACACCATATTGGACAAACACACGTGCATTTTTGTCACCATCAAATTCAAAATGGCCGACAAACTGTCATATTGTTAAACAAATGAAGACATCACTCATAAATCATACATCAGGTTATATATTACAAACGAGAACTATGTCATTGATAGTGACATGTTCATTTTCTAAATTGGTCTAATCCTTATCAATTCTCTTTATTTGATACATAGAGTACGTTAAATAGACATTGGGGTTCAAATCACGAGACATTGTCCAGTTATCACATATAAATACGCGCAATTCGTCCCAGCATGGCAACTCTATCCCATAAATATATGCCCTTCAATTGACCCTCACGGTCAAGTATAACAAGACAGTGTAACTAAGATACGATTGTAGATAGCTACGAAAGATCTCACTGCAAAGCGAGCAATCCGCCATGTAACATTGATCAAGCTAAACACAACTCAACGCAAGACGATGGGATACTCGTGTAAAACTTTCGCTATTGAGATTGCGTCATTTACTCGTACATTAATAATAATATGGACTCCGTTGATATTATTGCCCATGCTTATTATTGTCCCGAACAAGGTGCGTACCTCTTATTTGTGTCACTGTTTCATCTCTCGACTATAGTCGTTAATGATAATGCCATCCAGATTAATTTTCTAACTTGTTGTATTCATTTGTATTCGTGTAGATTATAGCAATATATATTTATATATTTAATATGCATAAATAATATATATGGATTTTTTCTTTGTATAAAAAGGTTCATGACCTTACTATATGCATCCATAACTTTAATCATTTACAAACTCAAAGGATATACCATTATTTCTATGGGGGTATATGGGTAAATTAGAAACGAGAAACGAATATTTGTCGAGTAAAACAATAAGGGACATAATAATCTGAATAAATGAGCTCGCATACAAATGTTAGTTACGTTTATAGAATGGGTGACTTAGTTTGTGATCCGAAATAAATGGTTCAATGCAAATATTGTACACACATATATTTATTAATAGTATAAACCGTCATATGTAAATCAATGTAGGTTATTACGTCACTGAACCAAAATAACGTCATTATTATCCAGATGTATTGAGAATCTCTGTATTGGCAAATATTATGATGATATTTACAGAGAATATGTCAGAACAAACTTGAAATTATTAAATTGCACGTGTATTTCAACGTTATTTTAACATATACATAGTATAAACTATCACTAACATATACGTCAATTAAATTAAATAACATAAAAATAACAATGCTGTTCGTGCATGATATAGTCAGGCCCATTTGAGATCTAAAACATGCCCTATTTTAAACAACACAGTGAGATTGTATACTACGTTTTGAATATGACAGTCTAATGCAAACAACAACAACCACCAAAACTCAAACGGTAATAATGGCCCGTTATTTACCGTATGACGATTAACTGGGTTCACGATTCAATACGCGGCCAACGTCACATGATAAATATTCAACATCCTATTTTATCTTCATATCTGATAACAAAATATTTTGACCTTTTCTAACAATATGCCTATAGATAAACACACAACCCGTCGTGTATCATCGCGGGCATAATAAACACCACTTCATCCAGACCCGTGCTTACCCAATTCAGTGTTGTGGGCCTTATTAGTGAATATGTTAACAGGCTTCTTTCTCTCCTTTGGCATATATAACCATTAGTTTCCAAAATCCAGCTCAAAAATGAGTAACAGGGTAAATATGTTTTCACCATCTTGCTTTCCAAAATTTCTATTGGTCAAACCCATATTTGTTATAAGGTCAGCGTCTTTCACAGATATTTATGGTTTTCTTCAACAGAAAGTTTGGGTGGCAAGATAGTAGAAAATGTAAAATTCTTCGTTTGTGAGTTAGATTTTCAGGATGATATTTTCCTTCAGAGAATATGTGTTGCAAAAATCTACCCTGAGTTTCAATGTGCGTATTTATACGATGTGAACATAAAAACGATGAGTAAAGTGTGCCACGTGATACTTAATATCGAATACTAGTATTCGTGGTTCATATTTGGTGGCCACTATTCGTCGTGCCTTCTACTGCTTGGTTAAATGTTTCCATGGCAACGAAATGATTTTAAATTTATTCTCTATATGTTTACATTGATAAAACTCAGAACACGCAAAAGGTTAAAGGATGTGCTATAGGATATGTAAATATGTAAATTTTATAATGTAATATCGATTATTCTCGATTATGCGAATGCCGCATTTGGTTACGGATTCACTCGAGGTACACACCATGTATATGCTTATTTATTAGAATGTCAAACTCAGTCAACATCAAACACTTAAAGCGGGAGGGTCGTCACCTGCGCACGCGCGGGAATTGAGTTCCAAGCGACGATAGCAACACATGCTAAAAACGAAAAGGCTCATGGGTAGACGCTTGTTTGTAAACAATGACACGCTATGGCCATCCAACGCATGCGCAGGTGACAACTCCCCCGCTTTAAAGGCTTGTCAGATCATTAGGGCTTTACACACGCTGTACTGTATCATGATGCTCTTGTAAAGTCCTGATATATATCCTCTTAATTAAAACTGTTCAGAATATTTCTAAATGTCTACCATACATTTTTCCATTTTTGCCTAACTGTGACGTGTGATATGCTTACAGGAGTCTTACTGTGGTTACGTATTGCTACTAATGGCAGTATTCTGGATGACCGAAGCCGTTCCTTTACCGGTGACCTCGTTGTTGCCTCTTGTATTATTCCCCTATTTCGGCATAATGCGATCAAGAGACGTGTGCATGTTATATACCACTGATACTTGTATGATGATACTGGGTGCATTGATGGAAGCTGCTGCAGTAGAAAAATGGAATTTACATCAACGGATAGCCTTGGCTACCTTGAATTTGATTGGATCCAAGCCTCGATGGTAGGATTTCGTTTCTGTATTATAATGAACACAACAGTATGAATTACCATTCATAGCAACGTATGTAAAATGTTGCTAAGCTGTAATGTTTTGGATTTATAATTAATTAATTCAAATAGTGGTATGGAATATTCCTTGATTCAAATTTTGATAATAATATTTATTATAACATATAATAACATATCCCCAATAAAGGGGATACAATAAAATATGCAAATGAAAAATAATGAAAGATACTTTCGTGCAAAGAACTAATCTGTGAAATCAAATCTATTACGAAACTGATGAGGATCTATGATTTCAGTGGCTGGATAAAAATATAAAACATAGTAAATAGTGTGCACATACATAATGAGTAACAGTGCAGTTTTCCTATTGTATTATAAAATATTGGTGTTTTGGTGAATTTGGATTTCGTTAATCCATATATCGATTAGAATAATAATCGAATTTTGTTGGCAACATATCAGTCAATATATCTTACATGCATTTGGTCGCCGTGATTTGGAAAACTTAAAAAAAAGTACAATCTCGTAAATCCGTTACTTTTATTGTACCTCAGGTTAATACTTGGTTTCATGGCCGTGACAGCCTTCTTATCAATGTGGATAGTGAACACTGCTAGTGCCGCCATGATGATGCCTATAGCCTTCGCCGTTATGTATCAGCTAGCAGAAAAGAAAGGACCAAGTGAACAGGTAAACCCAACTGTACCATCATAGCTTACGTGTATGTGTATGTGTACGTGTACGTGTACGTGTACGTGTACGTGTACGTGTACGTGTACGTGTGTGCTGATAAAATATATTTCAAATTTACACAAATTAACCACTAGTTCCTGAACTGGTATCATCTTGTCACATTATATTTAATAAGATTTTCACGTGCTTATTTATCAAACGTTTCAGGAGATTGTTCCAGAATGGCGCCCTGAGCCCGAAGATGACACACATACCACAACGAGTAATGGAGCAACTGTAAACAAGAATGTTGTGATGGATACGACAACCGACAATGACGAGTGGACATGTAAAGATGATGATATACTTACACCAGACCAGAAGGAATTAAAAACGTCAAACATCAATGCGGATCAAAAGTAAGTACTAATTATTTGAAATCACGGTTATATTTTATGGTATCATAGCAACTTATTTTATTACCATATTTTAATCAATATCTAGATAATAAATTATCTTACCCATGTCAGGGAAACTCGACGATAAAAATTTTCCGTTTTCAACATTGGGAAATTCTTTCTTTGTATTGAGGGAAATACAGTATTTATACCAAGTTAAATAATATTTATTAAAGATATTGTTCATACATAAATTGTTGAATACGCTACACTTTTTGTAATTTCATTGAAACTGTTTTTAGTCATAATTCAAAACAGATGAAATGCAAAAATATCGATTAAACAATTAATTGTGGGTTGTTCATGTAATCGGTAGTTATGAAAATTATTATTGGTATACATTTGGTTATGAAATATTCCTAATATTTCTGAGTTTACAATATTTCTGAATTTTCTTCAAAATCGAAAGAATTTCTCAATGTCGAAAATGGAAATTCTTTATCTAAGTGTTTGAATGGTGTGTAATACACGATTTGAATATTACATTCACGTCTCACATTGATTACGTACTGCATTTATTATTTTTTTGTACTTGTTATTATTTATGAAGTATATGTATATATTGTTTAATTTTCCCATGCCTCTAAGACAAAATCATACATATTAATATTTGGAGCAGAGAAGGCATTATTACTGAAAGTTATTTAGAAGATGACGAGCATGTAGAGAATATGAAGGAATTAAATCAAGAAGGCGTCGAGATCCCTGATGAATACAGAATGATGGCAATAGCTCTATGTTTATCAGTTGCCTATTCGGCCAACATAGGGGGCTCGGCCACCCTAATTGGTACAAGCACCAACATGGTAATGATTGGTATCCTCGAACAGTAAGTGATATACTGACATAACAGGATCTACAAATCTACTTCGTAATTTTAGTGCAATTTATAACTAGATCTTTCTTTTCAGCTTTCTTTAATTAAGTGAATTTGTAGATTTTTTTCGTTCAAAACATTATATTCAACTGAAAAGAACTATATGATAAATATAAATCTATGTATGTGACATATGATGCAATTACTTCACAGAAACTATGGTACTGACCACGGGGTAACATTTGGAAGATGGATGTTGTTTGTTCTCCCGTCAGCAATGATATTCCTTGCAATTATGTGGATATGGTTTTTATTTTTTTACTTAGATCTTAAGTAAGTTCCCAAGTAAGACTATAATATTTTCCTTAAACTATCAAATGTTGTATTAAGGTATATTACATCAAAAACTTAAAATGGTACATAAAGGACAAAACAATATAAAAACTGAAAATTACAAACAGTGTATTTATCATACTCACCATTGTCAAGAGCATTCATGTTCATCAATTGGAATACGTATCGTCTTATATCACTTGTTTGTAGAGTCAGTATTATCTACACGTCATTGTTATGAGTTATTGTCATTGCACTATTCGAATAAATATTGTTATCCAGTCTGAAAGTCTTATATTGAAACGATAACAATTGTAGCGATGCACGTTTTGGTTTGTGTGAAGACAAAACGAATGCGTTGCTGAAAAAACACTTCTAAGATGAACAATGATACAATTGACAACGTAGAACCATCGAATATTTCCAAATTTGGTCGTTAAGATTGTGGACCTCTGTGTCACCAAAAAAACGTAATCTCGATCAGAATTATAGTGTACATGTATATTAACATATATGTTGTCTTATTATTACTTTCATTGGTTTTTCACGATAGTCCAAAAAACTGGAAGAGTTTGTCCTGCAAATGTGAAACAACAGAAGACGAAGTTATAATAAAAAATACCTTAAAAGCAGAGTATGCCAAGCTAGGACCGTGGAGGTAAGTGGCATACGTCACATAAGAGCAATGATACATTTCACATAAACACTACCCCTGAGTTAATTCATAATAAAAAAGTTACAACTTTGTAAATTAAATAACCCACTTTGTATATTATTTTTAAAGCTGGGCTGAGATCACCATAGCGTTTCACTTCACTATGATATGCATATTATGGTTGACACGAGATGCATTATGGGGGCAATTATTCCCAGACGAGTAAGTAAATATATATTAGTATATCAATCAGTGAGAAACAATATATATTACGAAATAAAGCTTAGTTGAATCGCATGTCCCAACGCAGCTGTAACTTGATTGGGTGCTAGATGTGTCTGGGTTGTGCATTGTATGTGGGCATTACTTTAAGTATGAGTTTTATCAAAGATTAAGGAATGGTCTGACGCCGTGTGAAACAAATGTGCATTATTCGACATGTGAAAAGGGTCAAACACTTTGAAGAATGTTGAGTGTTATTTAGCCCGGAAACAAACAGTCGCGAATAAGATCAAAATGAACCTCATTTAAGTTTTAAAAACATTACTGATACATTATAAGAACCCCTCATCACGTGGTCACGTTATAAGAATGCTACAATATTGTGATTCCACAAAGATCACACAGCTTATTGTCTCCGGTCGAGGTTTTAACTTTCTTTAAGTGTTTGCGCCGTACTCATTAATTATTGCAGGTATGTTAGTGATACTACTGTAGTTATGTTGGGCATTGTTGTGCTGTTTATACTCCCTGCCTATGACCCTGGTTTTCTGTGCTGCAAGCGATATGACGGTAAATAATAATACAATATGTAGTGAAATCACATCATTATTCGGAGTCATATCCAAACAAATCATTTATAGGTGCTAATTGTTTTTGACGTTGAGGCAACTAGTTCTTTAGAGCAAATATGAAAGAAATGATACAACCTTGAACATATCCTGGAAGTTCTGATGAAGCATATGAAATAAACGTTTTTATAGCAGTTTTGAACAAATCCATTTGCTGTTAATTATGATGTATCGTATTATACTTCCGCCGGTACAAGTACATCAAATTAAAATGAAAATATTCGTATCTGGGCTTTATTTATTTTTAGATGACACCCCAAGAGGTACAACAGTAGCGATCCTCGATTGGCCAACACTACATACAAAAGTACAATGGGGCGTTGTAGTATTGATCGGAGGTGCATATGCTTTAGCTGGTGGGTCAGAGGTAATAATTAAATATTGTGTTTTACCTCCTGCAGACAATGCAGTACAGAATTGTAAGAGTGTTCTTGTGTTTATATGCATGCAAGTTATTGTCCTATAAGTTCTGTTATACGTAAACTTATTTGACGTTTTTAACATGTGTGGCCGTATGAACCATGGATTGGAATCAACAGTTACGGCGTTCGTGTGTTACGCGTGTTGGATTTATTTTTTATCTGGAATATTCGGATACGCAACGTTGTTGCGAATCATGTCTTCGAGCTCGCTTAATAAAACTGGCCAAGTGAGTATGAAATGTTTCACGTTTCATGTTCGTCTGGACGTAGTAGCAACGAATGTTTCGAAATTTTACATAACATGCATAAATTTAGAAAGAAAATGACAGAACAACTTAAGAAGAAGTGGGCGACATTCTTTTCAACGATTTTTTATTAATGTAGTAAGTCACATTAAAGAGATGTCAGTTTCGCGTACTTTTATTTGACTAATTTGAGCATATTTAATTTGAATAATGAAAACATTTTAGTAAATTAAAGGGCGGTGGTCGTCGCGCCGCACATTTGCGACTTCTTTGTTGACAAACATTGATTTTTCCCACAATCCAATGTGCTTTTCTAATGAAAATCGCGAGTACGAGTTTTGATCTGGGCACAAAGTGCACTGATTACCACGGGTGACTCCTTCGATATCTTCCAATCACTAAAGTAATTACGTAGTTAAAGCTTACTCACGTCTCGGTTTGAAGTCGTTGGTCTGCAAAACAATCAAAGTCGCAATCTGTGTACCATATCTTGCGCATGCGCGGCGACCACCGTCCTTTAATTAGTAGTTATCTGTCTGTTATTCAACTCCTTTTTGGGAAATTTTTGTCAACAGGAGTCTGGACTATCGGCTTGGATAGCGAATCAACTTGAAGTGCTAGGTGAACTTCCTGTTAACGCAATTGTTCTTATATCTGTAATAATTGTTGGGATATTTACTGAAATCACAAGTAACTCCGCTGTAGCCGCCATATTTTTACCAATCCTTGCTGCTCTGGTGAGTAGAGCTATCTTTATGGATTTATGAAACTTGTATTTTACCTGTTTGGATTTTACAAAATTATAACGAATGATGAACTGTTGAGTTAATGTTAGGCCTACTTGTGTGCTAAAATAAGTGAATATAACAGTATTCACACAATTTTTTCTAGCTGTATCCACAATGGAACGCCCCTCGATGATATAATCACAAATCTGAAAGAACATAACTTATATGTGACTGTCGATTCATCACTTTAAACTAAAATGAACATAAATATAAAAAAAATAAAAGCATACAAGCAAGACGTGACATGTGATATGTGGACCTCAAGGCATATAACCAATCTTAGTTGTAGACAATTATAATAACATGGACTGCATTCTCATTGGTCGATTACTACCATGTACAACCCACTTATCAGAAGATAACAGGACAATGCTATGGATCAATATACGAGCATACAAACACGGTCGTGTGTGTCTTCGAGTCGTTAATTTTCTATATTTCCCCACATTTGTACGAATATATTGAGCAAAAACCCATCATTGTCTGTTCAGCTTAAAAAATTCTTGACTACGTCTTGATTGTTATCGCGCACATCACCGTCTGCACCCTTTTATCGCGCACATCCCCGTCCTCACCCTTTTATCGCGCACATCCCCGTCCTCATCCCGTTATCGTGCACATCCCCCGCCTTTACCCTTTTATCGCGCACATCCCCGTCCTCACCCCGTTATCGCGCACATCCCCGTCCTCACCCCGTTATCGCGCACATCCCCGTCCTCACCCCGTTATCGCGCACATCCCCGTCCTCACCCCTTTATCGCGCACATCCCCGTTCTCACCCTGTTATCGGGCACATCTCCGTCCTCACCCCGTTATCGCGCACATCCCCGTCCGCGCCCATTTATCGAGTACATTCTCCGTCCTCGTCCTGTTACCTCTCACATCCTCGTCCACCCCCTATTATCGCGCACATCCACGGTCGCGCTCTGTTATCGCGCTATAATGGGAAGTGGCTCGTCTTTTATTCTTTCATGGGCCCTTCATTGTAACGTAGGAGATTGAATCATTGGTCTTCTTTGACATACATTACCTGAATGCTGATACATTATATAATGTCGCCAGGAACATTCCAAAAACATTATATTAGTGTATATATCTTTGTTAAAACAATATAGTCCACACAATTTGTTTCTTTTAAATAAATGTTTATGATATATTTTGTTTTACAGGCAGAAGAACTTTGTATCAACCCTCTGTATTTATTGATTCCAGCTACAATTGTTTGTTCATATGCATTTATGTTGCCAGCCGCCACTCCCCCAAACGCAGTTGCCTTTGGATGTGGGTTATTCGCTGCAACCGAAATGGTAAGTCAAAAATGTAATTTGAAAGTTTTTGTATAAACATAATTATATTAAACCACTAAATATTGAATCCTTCCAACTAGGTAGTCATTATGTGAAAAATATAATTACAATTCCTCTGCACTGGTACTGTAACAGCAGATGAATATATTTAACGAATTTAGTACCACGTGATAAATTTGTGTTTGAGTACGTCAATTTATCAGCCTCGTTCACGGACGTTGAAATATTGAATGTTTATTCACAGATGAGATGCGGTACTTTTCTTAAATTACTTGGAATGTTTTACGTGACTGCATGGGTTATTTTAGTGGGTGTACCCTACTGGGACCTAAATACCTACCCAGATTGGGCTGATGACTCCATGTGTGACAATACTACCATATACGCATGATTGTAATATTTACAATAACGAAAACACGAAGACATGACGTTAGCTGTTCTGAGAGAAGAATGTCACTGATACATCATCACCAAAGAGACATATTTCAAGTTCCTTTTTCAATAAAACCCTGTAATTTAGAACATAGGTTTTTAAATAATAAATAAATAATTGACATAAAATACGTCAGCGTGGTGCAGGATGTTCAGATATAGGGGTGCACATTTATAATGACGTAATTGCCACACTGTATTGTGGGATATATGTATATGAGTAACCACGGGTTAGAGGAGCACGCGCCCCGACTAAATCCGCCATTAATATGCAAAGTAGAATCCTCGCCCAAAGAGCTGTGTTTTTTAGCAGGGAAGGTTGAATCGAGCGGAATAGTGAGAAAATTAGATCACAGACTTGTAGATGTATTTTTCTTATGAGCGTACCTGTCAGATTTATATATAGTTTGTCACTCAATCTATCCCGAAAATATTCTGAATATATCTTTGCATAGGTTGCGTTGATCGGTGTACTATGTTTTTCTATTGTATTATATAAGAGTACAAGTAATAATAAAGTAATAATTTTCTATATAATTTCTACTATGTAATAAAAATGCCGGCAATCTGATTGATCCGTGTATTGTCCTTTTGACATCGCAAAATAACCTAATATTTCACTATATTGGCGGTTTACACAACATTTCTTGAATTATTATTATTATTATAATGAATTATATTAATTCGAATATTGGTGATTCAGATGTCGGATAAAACGCGCGTGTATATGCGTTAGATCACATTTCAAAGCCATGCGTTCATGCAACGATCCAGAACTTGAACCATGAGCCAGAACGTGCTCACAAACTAAGATTTCTGGAGGCTAAATTTGATATCAAATTCAAGGTGTCAAAATATCAGATTTATTTGTTCAGAGTCTCGTTTAATAAATCTGAAATTGTAGGATCACAATGTGTTTCACTTATTCGTCGCAAAATACATGAAACAATAATTACCCGAGTATATACTGATATATACTGTATTATATTAGTTGTTGATTCAAACTTGAAAACCCCGAGCAATATTACTCTTGCTAATCAGATCTCAGTGATTGGCTGTCTCGATGGCCAATCAGCTACTAGTATAGATGAACTGAACATCAATACATAATGGACCCATGTTTTTATCGGTGTTGCGTTCAGTGTAAACAACGCTTGAAACAGATCTTCCAGTAGAGTACATTAAGTGGAGACACTAAATGTGCTAAATAAATTACACGATACCAAAATATATATCTGGTTAATAATCTAATCAAACTAATCGTATGGGTATTTCTATCATGAATTTGTTTTTGCGTATCTGTTGACCGACTTAATTAGTTGATTATTAGCTGAATTGCTGTGTTATGTCTGTCATCGTTTAGGCCTGTTTGAAGTTTTGGACGAAACTTGGCTCAGTGATTTGGAACTAATTACCAGATAACCGCCCGCTATTCTGATTAATTCTGACAGTTTATATCCATAGTTATTAATGTAGTGAACGATTAATCAAAAGATATGACGTATTCAGTACTTAGTGTGATTGGCTTTATGATTGAAGGTTACGCCTTAGAGTCTTTTTACTGCTTTGTAATTGGTTAGAGTTTTGAAAATGAATAAAGAGAGTTTGAGTTGGTCTTGGGGAGCACAGCACGATAGACGCAGTCGAGGGAGCAGTCCTGGAGAGCCTTGGGCGAGCCTTGACGCAGTCTGAGAGTCGAGGGCAGTCCTGGAGAGCCTTGGGGCGAGTGTTGACGCAGTCTAAGAGAGTCTTGGGTCAGCCTTGGATAGTCTTGGGGACTTTTCCCCAGGGCGCTGTGTCTGGAAGAGTGCTCGATTGACCGACTAAGACGAGAGCTGAAACGTATTTCGTTGTGGGTGCCTTATTTGACTGTAAAGTATAAGTGACTTTCCCGATCCCGTACCTCAAGGGGACGCGATAGAGAGACGAGACGAGATTTCCCCCTGACAAGTGTGGAGAACCCAGAGAGAAAGAATTTCCCCCTGATATTTCCCACAGACTTTGAACAAACTGTCACTCTGAATAATCTCAGATTACATAAATGGCAGCTTTCGAATATATTGTCAATATATAACAGAAATAATAAAATAAGTATAAATGACTTTTTCATCCACATATGTTTCGTGAATTTGTGGAGCTTCACTTTTCACTCTCATAATATGTACAGTTTCAAATGTCGCCAAATTGTACTGTAACATCTTTTTGCCAGAACTATGTCAATTAATTTTAATAACGAATTTACCATTGAACTTGTTACTTTTACGTCAAAAAAATCTTCCAAACAATTCAAATCTTTCTAAATTGATTTAAAAAAATATATTATTTGCTTTTAAGTTATTCACCTGGAATGTATTATAAAGAATGATTGGCGGACTAATTATTCAACCACGCGTTACTATGAATTGATTAAACTGAATCGCCAATCAACATTTAGGTTAGAGCCTATTGTTTAACGCTTGTTTAAAAACACGGCCACACTCTGTTACACAGCTATGACTGCTGGTGCCATTATTAAAACCACTTCCAACTTTAATCTAGCGAATGTATTATCAGGCACTAATAGTCACTGTCTCTCGCTCACCGATTGTGAATCTAACATTGAAGCTGACGTCTTGAAGAAAATTGAATTATAAAACATGGAAACAGATGGTATTGATATGCCATACCACATCCAATTGATGACAGCCTGGAAAAGCGCACAATGATTCATAATTTGCAGAAGCCATACCAGTGTAAAGAATGTAAAAAGCGATTCACGGCAACAAGCCATCTAAAAATACACGCAAGCAGGTAAACTGAAAACACGCACGATTATCATGCGAGATTACATTCTAGTGATAAGCTATACCAGTGTGAAAGATGTGACAAGCGTTTTACTAGAACAGGCCATTAGAGAACTCGCATGATGACCCACAATGGCCAGAAACCACATCAGTGTACTAAGCGGTTCAGAGCACCAGGTGAACTGAAGATTCACACCGGTCATGACCAAAAATTCATTTATTTTATTAAAATGCAGCCAACAGACAAGCAACCGAATTATTAATACAATAAAAAATTTGATGAATAAAAATGCCACGTTTGGTACTAAAAAGAAATCACATTTTGCAAGATTTAAACTGAGATGCCATTGGGACCACTGTGACCACGATTGGACACAATCTTATTGGAAATTGTCATTGCGGTCAGAGCGAGTATGAATTGATTTGAATATCTTCGATAAATTGGAGTACTTAACAAAGCTGGGCGGGCCATTCATTTACATACATAATGAACAATAATGATCAAGTAGAAAACCGTGTGGGGCTCCAGGTGTAACTCCACGCACCGTCCCTCAACACCGGTGTTGAGGGACGGTGCTCCACGTAGCCATTTAAAACAACGCTCTATTGCCTATTATGTAAATATGATTAAAATCACAGTAACAATTTTCCACTCATTACGTAAATAGATATTTTATGTAAAACAAAACTATGATAGACCAAGTTAAATGCTTTAGAAAATCAAGATAAATAGAATCACCGTGGTGGCCATTGTCTCTACCCTTGCTAATAAAATCAGTATACCTTACTAAATTAGTGACAGTAGACTTGCCCGTAAACCATGTTGCTCCTTTGTTCAATATGGACTTGCTGGAATGGGCTGAGCAGACAAGACTTTTAGAAGTTGTTAGTGGGCCGGAGAGGAGATGGCGCTGGTTAGTACATGTGCTAAGAATGCCCCGGTTGCCCTTACCTGGAAAACCCAAGGAAGGAGACGAGGACGACCCAAGGAGATCTGGAGACGTTCGATAGAAAAGGAGCGTTGAGACCTAGGCCTCATCTGGGCGACTGCAAGACAGAGGGCAGCAGACCGGAACTCTTGGAGGACCATAGCGACAGCCCCATGTGTCAGCGAGGGCGCTAAGGATCTTAAGTAGTAGTTCCTCAGATATGGAATTTTCAACATGCGCAAATATCTTTAAAATAAATGCTTTAAAAACAGCAGGGAAATAGGTGTTTAATTACTAACAATACTACTATCACACGATTTAAAACTGGAACAAAATTTGAACATTTGAAGACAGAAGGGAAAGTACTCAACTGCATAGATATAGCAAATCGTTAATCTGATATTCAATTTATTGGCACGTTTTTTTAAAAATAATACCAGGTCATTTCTGCAAACATCAAAATACAAAACAACCTGTTTAATTTCGTCAATTGAAAAGTCAATGTTATTCAGTACAGAATTAGAAGAAAAAAACATTGTTCCAGCTATTTGCTTGCAGCTGTTATAAATACATGTTATGTTACACAGTATGTGCAAAAATCAGCTAAAGCTAAGTTGAAATTAAAGTGGATATTTACTGATCAGCGCCCCCAGTGTCCAACTTGGAAAAATTTGATTTAAGTTCGACGATGGCATAGTATTATTAGGACAACATATATTTATGTTCGAGGATGGAATATTAATATCAACCAAACTTAACACGCACGTGTCTCGTGCAATGAATTTAAAGGTACTTGAGAACAATGCACACATACAGTCATGACAATATAAATTACCAAACATTGCTTTTACCCAAA